AAAAAAAAAGGTCAGCGTGATCTCCAGCGAGATTTCCAGAAAGACCGTCAGCGTGATCACCAGCGAGACCTCTAAAAAAAAAGGTCAGCGTGATCTCCAGCGAGATTTCCAGAAAGACCGTCAGCGTGATCACCAGCGAGACCTCTAAAAAAAAAGGTCAGCGTGATCTCCAGCGAGATTTCCAGAAAGACCGTCAGCGTGATCACCAGCGAGACCTCTAAAAAAAAAGGTCAGCGTGATCTCCAGCGAGATTTCCAGAAAGACCGTCAGCGTGATCACCAGCGAGACCTCTAAAAAAAAAGGTCAGCGTGATCTCCAGCGAGATTTCCAGAAAGACCGTCAGCGTGATCACCAGCAAGACCTCCAGAGATATCGTCAGCGTGATCTCCAGCGAGACCTCCAGAAAGATCGTCAGTGTGATCTTCAGCAAGACTCCAGCAAAACAACCTCCAGTCAAACCCCTAGTATTACCATCAGCACGATCTCTAGCGAGGAAGTCAGCGGGACCTCCAGAAAGACCGTCAGCGTGATCTCCAGCGAGACTCCCAGATAAACCCTCAGCGTGATCACCAGCGAGATCTCTAAAAAAGACCGTCAGCGTGATCACCAGCGAGACCTCCAGAAATATCGTCAGCGTGACGATTAAATAGACCGTCAGTGCGATGTCCAGCAAAATTACCAGTGAGACCGGGAGCAATTCCTTTACGCGATCTCCAGCGAAATCGCCAGCTTGTCACTGTTCACTTTAAATTAATTTCATCAAACATTTTGGTCACAACACTGTGCTTGAAATTCTCTTCTTTATTTATTTGAGCAGTACGGACTTGTATTTGTTTACAAGCACTTTAACATCTGCAAACTAACCTGTTTTTTTGACATATTTTTTATATTTTCATATTGGATTAGCAATCTAATTTTTATTTTTCCTTCAAGCTGCTGTCTTCACTTGATTGCGAAAAACAAAAAACAATTAATTTATTACGACCAATCAGAACGCTTGGCTACGCCTATCTGCTGTCTCTCTCTTTTAAAAAAACTAAATTCTCGGCCCTAATAATCAGGGTTGATTTAGACGGTAATAATAATTAAATCTTTAAAAATCCACCGCGTCGAATATTCTGTTCAGACATTTAAAGACCAGAAAAACTATAATTGTAATAATAATAACAATAATAATAATAATGCCCATAACAATGACGATAGTAGTAAGAAAAAGTACAGAATAAAGACGAGAATGGGCAAGCAGTAGACTGCTAATTAGGCTGTACCGCGTTTCATGTGATGAATATTTGATTGGGATTTCGCCGTCGAGCGTTTTGCTGTATAATACCCGGCTTCCGTGCTCGTCAAGGGTGAGGGCGAGGGTGAGACCGAACAGAAGCAGACAGATAATAAAGTAACAGTTACTTGATATTTTTTAACGAGAGTAAGAGAGACCCACCTTTTATTTCGACTTTTATCAAGAGAAGTTTTTCTTTTTTTTTTTCGTTCTCACGAAAAATTACGTCCAGCAAAGTCCGATACGAGTAACGGTGTATCGTGAATAAATTCCGGTAGTTCTTGTGGAATTTCGTTATTAAAATTCTCGATAACTTCATTGTGAATAAGTTACGGTTTTGAATTAAATTCTTGGAGAAGTTTCGCGGTAAAAAATATTATAACTTTATATATTTCTTTCATGCTCGACTCTACTCAGTAACAACGTTACAAAATCGAATCTAAAGTTATCAAATTTAATAATAGAAATATACCTACCAAACTATGGTACAAAAAATTATCGGAAATAAATTATCGGACCGTCAGTTATTGTGTTATTACTTTTTCATGAAGAACTCGATCCCACGAATAGAACAAGATAGTCGGAATGTTGAACTGGATTTTTATTTTTATCAGCATTAAATATATATCTTGCTTCGATATTCAATTTCAATTTAAATTTATACTGTTTATGGATTTGTTTTTTAGCATCCGTATGTAAACAGAGCGCGATGTTTGCTGATAATAAAGTTGTAAATAAACTGTTGAGCGTGATTAAACAAAGAGTATTCGAAGTACGTGTAAATAGAACCAAGAGAGAAATAAATTTGATACAGAAGTTGTCTTTATTCAGATCTGATTTGAAAAGTAAATAAATTTTGATGCACGAATATTTCACTAAAAAAAAACTCTACTTTTTTTTATACTGAGATGCGGTTGTGTCTTGCACCATGTATGCGTCCATTAACCCTCTTCCGTACGTGCTGAAGACGCTGACGCCATTACACCGGTTGTGGGGAGTCGCTTTTACACTTATTAGATTTACAAGGTGGCTAAATGAATTTTAAGTGCACGAAGTAGTATTTTATAAAATTTAAATTTGAAGTATGGTATTTTTTAGAGTTTAATTTTAATGCTTGAAAAATTTTTTTAATTTATATTAAAGTTTTTATTCTACCAAAATAAATTTTATTAACCTGAAACAAGTTTTATAGATAATACTAAAGTTAACTGACATTTTTAATTTTTTTTTCAATAATTAAATTAGAACAAAAAAATATTTTTTAAAAATTGCACATACAGTTTTTCAAGTTGTTTACAAATGAAATTTTTTTTTTAATAATTTTTTTAATAAAAAAAATTTTTAGATGTCAGCTAACTTAATTTTCATGTTTTATAGGCCAAATTATTAACAAAATACTTCAAAAATTTAAGTTTGAAATAATAATTATATTTTTCCAAATATTTGATTTTTGGAACATTGAACCAAGTTCTCATAAAGATTATTTTTTTTTAATCTTGTTTATAAATTCTACCGTATTTAATAAAAAATAATAAATTATTAACATTACTATTATGTTTAATTAAATAAATATGTTACTAAAATTAACTTTAAAATGGAAATTTTTAAGATTTCTTAAAAAATAAAGTATTATAAAGAAAATTTATGAAAAAATGTTACTTGTAAAAATTAAAAAAAATATTGAAGCAATTTTATTAATTACTTATATCAAACTAAGAAAAGAAATTATATTAATTTTAAAATCTCTAAGTACGCATTTTGTAATTTTCGAATTTCTTAGTGTGAATAAATTGCAATCAAGTAATTAAAATAAATAAAAGTCAATTTAAGCGGTAATTAATTCGACCAAAAGAATAAAGTTTATTTATTCAAAGGCTGAACTGACAATTGTCTTTTTACAGTGGACACAACATAAATAGAGGTGTAGTGTCACAGGAAATGTAATATGTTTGCAAACAAGTCTAGTTTCCGTAGAACTTACTAATAACATTGTTAGACCACAATTCCGGATGACAACTAGTGCGCTTGTTAAAATAAACAGTGAGCATTTGTAGTCATCATAGAAACGTACTACTGTCTGACCGCATTGTTCCTAATGAAAATATTTGCCTTGTCCTCCGGGGATAAACGATAAAGGACAATTGGGTTTATTAAAGCTCGCTGCTGTTTATCTCTGATTGGCTATAATTAGTTTTAGAAATTATTTCTATATCTGAATTGTTTTCTTACAAATTACACTTTAAAAATCGTTTGACCTTTTTTTTTGAGGGTTAATCGGCTCACTTTGAGATCAAAAACTACTAAAAGAAACGACTTAATCTAATAAAATGATAGTTTAATGACACTAATTAGAAGGAAATAGAAAAAGCAACAAAGCTACTTCCGAGAGAAAGAGAATTTTTTATGGAAAAAAATTCTACTTTTCTTGATGGTCGACTAAGTCGATTTGCAATGAAAGTCCAAGGAAATGATCAGTGATTCCGAATTGTCCGAGGCTTTATTATACGGAAGGCTTTGCAAAGGTAATGCCACTACACATGTATGTACATAAGGACTCTCTGCTTTTACCATTTTTTCCTCTAGAAGTTTTCAGTAATTCATAAGACTAATTTTAAATCACTAAAAGCTAAAGTACACGGGATAAAATTTTTTTTTTTAATTTTAATTTGATTTTTCATGAATTTGATCTAGTCTAACATTAAATAGTAATTAATTAATTAATAAATTAATGATAATAGTAAATTAAAAGGTAATTTTTATAGTTAAAAATTTCCCTTCGATACAGAAATTTAACTTTCTTAGAGTAATTAGTAATTCATACAAACTATTCTTTTTTTTTTTTTTGCTAAAGTTATATATCGAATAATACTGACTACCAATTCAATATGTTTGATTTACAAAGTTTCTACTTTGAATGAAAACTTCTCGTTTATCAAAAAAACAATCAAATCAACGACTGAAAGTTATTCTAACTAAAATGATCAATCAAGTACCAAAAAGCCACTAAGAACAATAAACAACCGACAGCTCTGTTTATTTCATCGCCGTCAACACTAATTGGGTTTTCACAAATGAAAGAAGACCATCGAACAATAAATTATTCAAACGCTCCAATTAAACAACTCAACGCCCGAGTAATTGCTAGCTCATCAATAATTAACACAACCAAAAATAATAATAGCAATAATAATAATAACGTATCTATTAATTGGTTGTAGGCCCAAGTCCTCAAACAGCCAGAAACCATATACAAAATAATATACAAAGTGTACAGAATTAATTTAGTTGTAAAGCAAACAGTAATAAATAAAATTATAAAAATATATAGAAACTTATTGAAAGGATGGTTTTTCAGAGTTAACTGCTCTAGAATAAGAACAAAAACAAATTGCATTGTAATAATGTACATTTCAATAATAACAATAATAATAACTAGCAACCTTGCAGTCACTATGTGACTATCTGTGAACTATAAATAAATCAAATTTCGCTTTATTAAAAAATTACTTTTGTTAAATTGCACTGTACTTATTTAACTATTGACGTTTTTAAATATATAAGCTCATTTCGATGTTACACTCATCAAGAGCTTTCATTTGAGTACCTACATGCATTTTTAATATATTTTTCATATATACATATATATAGTATATATAAATATATGAAAAAATTGATGTGGGTACTCAAATGAAAGCTGTTGATGAGTATAACATCAGGATGAGCTTATATCTTTAAAAATGTCAATAGTTCACAAAATATTTGTTAAATTGCGCTGTATTTTCTTAAAAACTGACGTTTTTAAAGATATAAGCTCATCCCGATGTTACACTCATCAAGAGCTTTCATTTGAGTACCAACATCAATTTTTCATATATTTTTCATATATACAAAAATTGATGTGGGTACTCAAATGAAAGCTGTTGATGAGTATAACATCAGGATGAGCTTATATCTTTAAAAATGTCAATAGTTCACGAAATTCAAGGTCATTTCTCAATTATGTATCTAGAGATAGAGCATTTCAGAATGCAGCCTAAATACTTATCATCATAAATTGACTATTGGTAAGAATGATATGAAACCATGAAAAGTGAATTCATGGAAAAACAAATTCAAGTGAAGACTTTTCCAACGATACCAAATTTAGCCATAAAAACCAATTTTATCATACAAAAACACTGGCCACAAAATTTTGCTTATTCTCTTGATAATATAGATGATAATAATAGCAAAATTGTAAAATTGACATGCGTATCACCGCCGGAAACAATCAACAAATCTCATTGCAATTGATGGGCCATCAAAATTACCATTGAAACTGATATACAGTTAACATTTAACTCATCATTCAAAATCAAATATCCCGTAGAACACGGCTTATAATAATCTACACATAGAGTATTTTAGTAAATCCTTCGGTAGAAACAAAATAGATGCAATAAATAATAGGATAAAATTCATCCATATATCTAAAAAATTCCCAGCAGAATGAAATCTTTACTCGGTTGCACTTTTGTACATGTTTGTCTCGACAAATAATATATAGAACCGCAAAATTATTTTATGATTGATTGTGTTTTTTATATCCTTTGATACTTGG